AGGTAGAGCAGCCGAGGCGCTGCGAGCAGTACCTGAGGGGGACATACATAATTATGAGAAAATAAAAGACATTTTGTTGGCCAGATATGCTGTAACTCCGGAGGCATACCGGAAAAAGTTTAGAGACCTGAGAAAGACTGGGAGAGATTCCCATACGGAATGGGCTTTTCGCTTGCAGCGGGCAGCCCGCAATTGGATGAAGGGCTGCCAGGCAACCACCCTAGAAGAAGCTTTGCAACTAGTGATACTGGAGCAATTTTTTAATCATACTGCAGAGGACATAAAAGACTGGGTAAAAGATAGGAAACCAAAAACTGTGGAGGAGGCCGCTAGGCTAGCGGACGAGTACCAGGATAACAGGAGGAAGGAGCCAGGGGCGATCAGACCACCATTTAAGCCTCAGTACACAGCTCCAACAAACCCGGCTCCACCTAGACCTGCCATAGGTCACCCCCCACCGAACCCAGCAAACACACCTCGACCTCCTGCAGTGTGTCACTACTGCAAGCAACCAGGACATTACAAGCATCAGTGCCCTCGCTTAAACCGGGGAAGCTGGGAACGGCCAGCCCCCCAACAACCCAGGGCAGCTGCTCACTGTGTGCAACAGGAACACACAGGCCCTGCCCTTAACCACGAAGAACAGTGGAGCGTATTACATGAGGTCAATCCAGTACAAGCTGGGGGGGACAACCGGGACCACCACCGCCAATGGATTACCGTCGATGGCGTGGGGGCCCGGGCCCTGAGAGACTCTGGGGCTACTTTGACTGTGGTACAGCCCCACACGGTCAGAGCACAAGCTCGCACCGGACGCACGGTCGCTGTAAGGGTGGCTGGGGGCGCTATTCACAAACTGCCCACCGCTAATATGTTTGTTGATTGGGGTTCCGGGTCTAAACAACTGGAGGTGGGGATTATGCAAGAACTGCCCGCCGAGGTTTTGTTGGGAAATGATGTGGGATGCCTAACCTCTCAACTAGCCCGAGACCCCCCTGCCGAGGCCTACCCGGTTACCACCCGAGCTCAAGCCAGACTGGAAGCTCCGCTGCACTCTGAGGAGAACCAGGTAAGAGTCGAAATACACCCTTTACCCGATCCCCCCGTACCCTTCTGGGATACCTAGGGGTTTGAACAGGAACACTGACCCCATTAGGGAAGGTTATGGAGTTGTCAGCGCCGCTACCCCCCGAACAACCCGCACTTTAAAAATTTGAGTGGTATAAGGGGTTATGGTATAGGGTAACCGAGGGGGTGGGATAGGGGCTACCCAGGTCATAGGCAAAAGACAAAGTTAGTTGTGCCCCGAAATTTCGGGCTGAGTTGTTAAACTCAGTCAGCGACATTCCTCTAGCAGGGGTCAAAAGACCAGAGACAGGTTAACTCAAACCTTCTTCGGCCCAGAGCTACCTAGGACCCAAAGTACTGTAGGGACATGTGATGGGCGCCAAGGGGAAAGGGGAGGACCTCGGAAGGCTAAGCTTCACCCCCTACCCATCATCGAACAACCCTTCCACCGAGTAGCGGTGGATTTAATAGGTCCCCTCAGTCGCCCCAGTCCGTCGGGCAAAAAGTTTATCCTAACAGTGGTTGACTACGCCACTAGATACCCGGAGGCAGTCGCCCTCACCAATATAGAGGCCGAGACCGTGGCAGAGGCCCTTATTCAGATATTCACCCGAGTAGGTTTCCCGCAGGAGATACTCTCCGATCGGGGGACGCAGTTCACAGCCACCCTGACGCAACAACTATGGCAGAGCTGCGGAGTGCAGCCCCTGTTCAGCGCCCCGTATCATCCCCAGACTAACGGGCTCTGTGAACGTTTCAATGGCACTCTAAAACAGATGCTAAAAACTTTTACAGAGTCCCACAAGGATTGGGAAAAATTCCTTCCCCACCTTCTGTTTGCCTACCGTGAGGTGCCCCAGGCCTCCACTGGGTTTTCCCCCTTCGAACTCCTGTACGGGAGAAAAGTTCGGGGCCCACTGGAGCTCGTACGGGAACACTGGGAGGGCAATACAGATGAGGGGGGAGTCCCTATCGTCCAGTATGTCCTGGAGTTCCGGGACCGTCTGCGGGCCCTCACCGAATCGGTTCGGGAGAACCTGCAGGCGGCCCAGGAGGACCAGAAAAAGTGGTACGATAGGAGGGCCCAGGATAGAGTGCTGGACTTAGGGCAGAAGGTACTGGCTCTGAGGCCCGTTAAAAAGGACAAGCTGCAAGCAGCCTGGCAGGGACCCTTTAAGGTAGTGGAACAGGTTAGCGAGACTACCTACATCGTGAGCAAATGCTCAGATGAAAGGCTGACCAAAGCCTTCCATGTGAACATGCTCAAACCATATTTTGAAAGGACAGAGGAGGTGGGCGCCGTGTGCGCCCCCGCCACAGAGGATAGTGAAGGGCTACCCCTTCCTGACTTACTGGATACCACCCCCTGTACTATTGACCAAGTAAGCTTGGGGCAAAATTTAGACCACCTGGAGAAAGGCGAGGCTACTCAACTGCTGCAGGGATACCGAGAGATGTTTTCCGCTACCCCCGGCTATACCTCCGCTGCGGTCCACCGTGTGGAAACCCAGGGAGAGACGCCCCTACGGCAACAGCCATATCGGATCCCGGAAGCAGTACGTGAGAGTATGCTCACCGAGTTAAGGGATATGTTAAGACTAGGGGTAATAGAACCCTCCCAAAGTCCTTGGGCCTCCCCGGTGGTACTAGTACCGAAGCGCGACGGCACTACGCGCTTCTGTGTAGATTACCGGAGGCTTAACGACCGTACCATAACCGATGCCTACCCCATGCCTAGAATAGATGAGCTCTTAGATCGTATGGCGGGGGGGAACTACTTGACTACCCTGGACCTGTGCAAGGGTTATTGGCAGATCCCCCTGGAGCCTGCGGCCATCCCCAAGTCGGCGTTCGTCACCCCGTTTGGGCTATACCAATTCAAGGTTATGCCTTTTGGGATGAAGAACGCCCCGGCTACGTTTCAGCGGATGGCGGATAGGCTCCTGGAGGGATTGCAGGACTTCGCATGTGCGTATCTAGATGATATTGCCATCTATAGCCGCACATGGGGAGACCATCTGGGTCATGTGTCCAGGGTGCTCGAACGAATCCACCTCGCCGGGCTCACTTTAAAACCCGACAAATGTCACGTAGGCCTAGCCGAGGTCCAGTATCTAGGCCACCGGGTCGGCTCCGGTAGACAACGCCCAGAGCCCGCTAAGGTAGAGGCCATAGCTAACTGGCCCCAACCCCGGACCAAAACCCAGGTACTGGCTTTCTTAGGGACGGCCGGGTATTACAGGAAGTTCGTCCCAGAATATAGCGCCGTGGCCAAGCCCCTCACGGACCTTACCAAAAAGGCCCTTCCCAAACAGGTCGCCTGGACCCCAGAGTGCACGGACGCTTTCCAGAAGCTCAAAGCGGCATTGAGTGAGGCCCCTGTGTTGGCAGCGCCCGATTACACTAAACAATTTCTTGTACACACAGATGCCTCCATGTTTGGGCTGGGAGCCGTACTAAGCCAGGTTGGGGCGGATGGCATGGAACACCCGGTGGCATACCTCAGCCGTAAACTTTTGCCCCGAGAAGTCAGCTATGCCACCGTAGAAAAAGAGTGCTTGGCCCTCGTGTGGGCCCTCAAGAAACTTCAGCCCTATCTGTATGGGCGAGCGTTTACCCTTATGACCGACCACAACCCCCTGGTATGGCTCAACCGGGTAGCTGGTGACAACCCCAGGCTACTCCGGTGGAGCCTAGCTCTCCAACCATACAATTTTACCATGCAGTACCGTCCGGGTAAACAAAATGGGAATGCGGATGGACTGTCCCGCCAGACCGAACTGGACACCTAAAAACGTACTTTCATCGGACATCCCCAAGCCAACCCGACAGGGTCTAGGCGGGTATGCCGACCTATGGACTTATAGGGGAGCAGTGTGAAGAAATGACTCCGTTCCTCAGGATTTCTACCTTTGTTGCACAAGTTAATTCACCCAATTCAGCTGGAATTCGGCATATAACTATAATTTCTACCATTCGAATGGATTCAGGCGAATTCCCCGTGTAAACTCTAGGTGGCCGCCATTTCGGCACTTTACACGTGGTCGCGGCCATTTTACGTGCGAACAGCGGTGTTTGCCCGTCAAACGCGTGGAACTAAAATCGGATACACAAACAGGCGAACACCGCTGAGACCTCCATACATCCAGAACTTCGCACGGAAAAAACCGAATCACCGGCCGTTCGGTAGTTACATGCAACTTCGTATGGGGATTTCAACGACCACGAAGATGCGAACGGATGGCAGGACTTTCGTCTTTTTATTCGCCTAAACGGAGACCGACCGCAGGGCCAAAACTTATGGAACTATTTTCGGCTAGATGATCCGTGCGGTCGGTCAAAACTTTAGTGCTCCATAACTCCCGAACCATTCATCCGAATGGACTGATTTTTTGACATATTGTCCCCACCAGTGAGCACTATCCAGCGGTGCCCAATTTAAAGGTGTACCCCCTGTTTTTGGGGTACATCCAGAACTGGGGTAAAATAGTGCACGTTTTAATGAAGTTAACTGTTTATCAGAGGGGAGGGAGGTAGGGGCTGTAACCTGTACCTGATTGGTGATTTAATGCCTCCCCCTGGGTGTGTATTTTTTGTCTGTAACCCTAATAAAAAGCAGGCTGGAGATTCCAGACCTCAGATCTACTTGTATCCTGATTCTGGACTCTGACTGTTATTTGGGAATTCGTATGCTTTACCAAGGGGATTATCTTGGGAAGCTGTTATATTTCTTATGGACTTCATTGCTTGGAACTACCTTAGACGCTGGCATTGCAGGAGGAATTATCAAAGCGGTTCAGCTATACTTGATTTCCTTACAATAACCTTTCAAATATTTTACCAGCCACAGAAGTTAAGCTCACAGGTCTATAATTTCCAGGCAAGGATTTTGAACCCTTTTTGAATATAGGAACCACATCTGCCTTCCTCCAATCCTCCGGAACACTTCCTGAAAGAAAAGAATCTTGAAAGATTAAAAACAGAGGTTCACTTATTTCTACACTTAGTTCCTTAAGTACTCGTGGATGAATACCGTCAGGCCCTGGAGCTTTGTTTATATTAACTTTCTTTAGTTGCTGCAGCACCTTGTCTTGAGTTAACCAATTACAATTATTCTGCAAGTTTTTAGTAGCAATCATTTGCACATCTATTGCCATGGGTTCTTCCTTAATATATACGGAGGAGAAATAGTTATTTAAAATTCCTGCCTTTTCCTGGTCTTCATTAACTACACCCCCGTTTCAGTTTTTAGTGTACCTACACTTTCATTTTTGTTTTGTTTTTTAATTTATGTAGTTAAAAAATGTTTTGGGGTTGTTTTTGCTCTCTTTAGCTATCATTTTGTTCATTTTGAGGTTTAGCAAATCTAATTGCCTTTTTGCACGCATTATTTGCTGTAACGGACCGTTTTGCACACAAGGGGTAAAAACCGTTTAGACGATCGGCCCCCTTTCCAGAGATACAGGCACAGCTACTGCAGAACACCAAACTCCCGAACTGGATACAAAATAGCACTCCAACTCCCAAACTGGAACCTCCCAAATAGCTGCTAGCAGACGAACAGGAAAAGCAGACAATCGGCTTACACTCCTGGCAATCAGTCTCTAACAGCATACAGTGAATCCCCCCAAGAACGAGACAAGGCTCCGTGTTGAGGGTCAAGCAGTGGTCTGAGGTGCTGGCACACCCAGCCTGGTTTTTATTACAGTCTTGCAAATACAGGACTGCCCACAGGGAGGTATAAAATATCCAGTAACATATTAGTTACAACCCACAGATTCCCTCCCCCTTATCCTGAGAGGTAACCCAATACACATACCTTTTACCACAATGCATCCTGGCTTCCTCTCCTCTGCCCTGGAGATAAGTGAGAAGTAATTCAATTATCTCCCAGGACAGGGACAAGACTCCATTATGCACATGGTGACACAAAGACAGTAAAACACTTTAAAATACATAAAGTCACCTTTTACACATAACACACAGACATTTAACATATCCCCAGATAGCTCAGGTCTGAGCGCACATTATTAAGCGAATGGCGCTCAGACCACACGAATACAGTTTAATCGCCATGGAGCCAAAGTCTTTACAGTCAGTTTCATACGAATGGGCTCCATGGGATTCCTATCTGGGGTATAACACATTCAAACAAATCTACCGAACCCCAGGCAGAAAAGCACGAATGAAGCTTTTCTGCAGGTAAAAAAGAGGTCTTTTAACAGGGGGCCATAGTCCAGAGGCAGCAGGCGAGCAACCAGGCTTCTCCAATGCAATGTGGCGAGATTGGTCTCGTCACATTTGCTTCCTTATATCTTTTATAAGATGCATCCGATTTGTCCGATTTAAATGCTTTAAATGCCCTTTTCTTATTTGTAATCTCCTGTTTTACTTCTCTACTAAGCAACATTGGTTTTAATTTGTTTCTTTTATATTTATTTCCCAATGGTACGTACTGAGAAATGTACCTTTCTAATATTTTTTGTATGATGATCCATTTATCCTCAGTGTTCTTTTCACTAAAGAGTTTACGCCAGTCAATATATTGTAAAGCTTCCCTTAACTTATTGAAATTGGCCTTTTTAAAATTATATGTTTTAGTATACCCCCATGTGCTTTTGTTTTTTTGCGTTTATTTCAAAGGACACTATATTGTGATCACTATTTCCCAAGTGCTCACCTACTTGAATGTTGGTCAAAAGATCAACGTTGTTGATCCAGTATCCAGTAGGACACTATTACATATATTAAAATAATAGAATCTTTTGTAGGTCACATTGCAAACACTGAAATGGTTTATTCCGTGTGTCAATGCTTTGGACATCTGAAATGTTTCATGTCACGGGACTATTGAACATTCCCTGCAGTGCTGTTGATTTGAAAAGGAACGGGAACGCAGTCTTGTGAATACAGACCGATAAACCTGAACACAGCAGTGATTATATAATGAAAAAAATTCAATCAAGTGGGAAGAAACCAGTTTGTCTCACTCTGTATAATACACAGGGCTTGGGTCCTGCAGGAACGCCTGGAAACGGCACTTTTTTCACAGCAGGAACACCGTTCCTGTTACTCCTGCAGGCACTAACCAGGGGGAAGCATAAAATGCTGCCCCCAAATGCCCCCGTGTTCCCCTTGTCATGGGGGGGCCAAGCGGTGGCCTGCCGGCGGGCGGCTGTCAGTTTCGGCGAGGGAGCGGTGTTCTCCCAGCTCTGCTCCCTTGCACACCGTTTGCTGATGCCGGGAGCAGGAATATGACGTCATATTCTTGCTCCCTACATCAGTAGACAGCCCGTGCGGCGCGAGGGAGCAGAGAGAGAATACAGCTGCCTCGCTGCGTCTGACATGTAGACAGCCACCCACCTCACTGAAGCCCCACTGGGACAGGTCCACACCAGCTCTCCAGGTAGGGGGGCTGGGTGGACATTTGTAAATGTTAAAAATATAAATAATTTGTGTGTTTCTGTGAGTGTATGTGTGTGTGTCTGAGTATGTGTGTGTGTCTGTGATTGTGTGTGTCTGAGTGTGTGTGTTGTCTGTAAGTGTATGTGTGTGTGTGTGTCTGTGAGTGAGTGTGTGTGTCTGTGAGTGTGTGTGTGTCTGTGAGTGTGTGTGAGTGTGTGTGTCGGTGAGTGTGTGTGTGTCTGTGAGTGTGTGTCTGAGTGTGTGCGTCTGTGAGTATGTGTGAGTGTGTGTGTGTGTCTGTGTCTGTGAGTGTGTGTCTGAGTGTATGTGTGTGTCTGTGTGAGTGTATGTGTGTGTTTTTGTGTGTATGTGTGTGTGCATCTGTGAGTATGTGTGAGTGTATGTGTGTGTCTGTGAGTGTGCTTGTGTGTGTCTGTGAGTGTGTGTCTGAGTGTATGTGTGCACCTGTCAGTGTGTGTGGTGTGAGTGCACGCGTTTATATATATGCATACGAGTGTATAATTTTTTTGTGGGGGGAAGGGAGATGGTGGATCTTGGGTGAGTTCCCACACTTTTTTCCCCAGGACTTGACCCCTAATAATACAGATCAGTTTGTCTTTCCAAACCCACTTCCTGATCAACTTGAAAGAAGCGTGTTTACACTATTTTCTTGGCTCTCTAATAAATAAATGCATTTTATTAGAGTTTACCTTGTTGTAAAACAGTTAATCTGATGAAAACACGCTCCGGTTATGACTCTTTGGAGAAATGCCATCTGAATAAAAGTACTACTTATAACTGAGACACCATGTGTTAGAAAACCCATACTTTTCTTTTCTGCTTGGTTAATTACACCAGTTGTAAATATAAAGAATACATCGATCCCGCTGTTACCTGTACATACTCTTATTGTGATGGCAGCTGCCTGGTTTGTTTTTTTGAGAACTGTGTAATTTCATAAAATGTCCCCACCCTCTAACATGCAGTACGGAGGTGGACAGATCCCCCTCGAGTTTGTCGATTTTACCGTGTGAAGAGGTTCTGTTTACATTTCTTCTGCAAAAGTGAAATATTCAAAATTAATGACAAACTGTCACTTACAGACAAAACATTGAAAATCCTCTACAACATGTGTTAACCTTTTTTACATGGCGCTCCACTATCTTTTAAATGTATATTAACGATTTAAGACTTGATATATTCAGTGCTGGCTCAAAAAGACGATACATTGTTAGAGGAAGAGAAATTGTATCACTGTTTCCAAATCTCCTCCTTACGCTCTGCTCTCTAATTGCTGACTGACGGGTACAAAATTTTTTTTGTTTTTTTTAATAACAAAATAATTTGTAGATTCTCATGATTGACAGGTATAAAGAGGGATGCACTCTGTTCCAGGAAAAAGTAAATACAGGTGTATGGATTGCGTCATTTAATTTTTTTTTAGATCTCCTATACACATAATTGTTTAATACAATAGGGAATAAGCAATCATGATATTAAAAATCCCGGAAATTGGAGGAATTTCTTTAAAATAATATAGTAACTGCTACCGATATAAAATATTGTTGACCTATATCGCAATATTAGAAAATGATACAAAAAATATAATATTTCATGTTATTACGATGTTGACTAAAATATTTAAAATATTTATCATTATCAAACCTCCATTGTTCTCACGGACATAGGCCATTGTCTAATGCTGCTGATGTAAAATTATTAATTAATTACAGTATTGCAGTGTCTCATGAATATTTAGTTGGACTATCAGTATTTAAAGGACCACTATAGACACCCATAGTACTTCATCTCGCTGAATTGGTTTGTAATTTGGTCTTGTTGTAGTGACCTTGAACTTTTAGTCCGGCAATGTAACATCTCTAAAAGGTGCCCCCGCATCAAGAAACAAGTCAGACTCGGATCCCACATGTTACCTACTCTGATACTTCTAATGAAAAGCATGTGAGTGCAGGAGCAAGTTTTTTTTAAAACACAAGCACTTCTAATCCACAATGCTTTTCAATGAGAAGCATTGGATTAGAAGAGGACGTGGAAGACGTCAGTATGCTTGCTGTCGAAGAAGGAAGCAGAACAGGCAACTTCAATGGCGTTATAAACGAGGTAAGTGAAATATATTAAAGGGACACTATAGTCACCAAAACAACTTTGGATTTATGCAGCAGTTTTGGTGTATAGATCATGCCTCGCAGGTTTCACTGCTCAATTCTCTGCCATTTAGGAGTTAAATCACTGTTGTTTTTGTTTATGCAGCCCTAGTCACACCTACCATGGCTGTGACTGACACAGCCTGCATGAAAACAAAATTGTTTAGTTTTCAATCAGATGTAACTTACTTTAAACGTTTGTATCTCTTGTTATGTAAATGTAATGTTAATTACATACAGGAGGCCCCTACAAGGTCTAGCAAGCTATTAACAGTGCAGGAGATAAGAAATTCTAAAATTATACAGAATTTGCAATAAAAGAAGTGTAGACATTAGATGACTCTTTACAGGAAGTGTTTAGGAAGGAGGTGCAAGTCACATGCAGGAAGGTGTGGTCAGGGCTGCATAAAAAAGTGATATAACTCCGAAATGGCAAAGAATTGAGCGAAAAGACTGCAGGGGCATGATCTATACACCAAAACTGCTTCATTAAGCTAAAGTCGTTTTGATGACTATGTTCCTTCAAACATAAGATTTTCTACATAAAAGTGCGTGGTCACTGTAACAGTGGGGAACGTATATTTCAGGACTATAGGTTTCCTTTTAAAGTTGGCAAGCTTACAATGTGAGGTTAAAATCAGGTACTAGAGTTACAAGAACCGGAGCATTAACCACTGAGCTATCTCACACACTCATCGTATTATAGCAAACTTGTGTGCTAGTCTTAGGCCACTTTGGTAAATTCAGTCATGTCCCAGCATTTGAATATTGTCAGGTGGTATTTTGGCCCTCGCTGCTTCAAGCCGACAGTTAAAATGATTTGGCAGTAGGTTTTTATCTGCTTCCCCCATATAGCAGAGCTGAGCCTTCCTCACTAGGTCAGTCCATTTGGTAAGTAGTCTGACATAGAAGTGGTAATTTGCTAATAGGCCTCTCTTAGCCTGAAGCAATCTGCACTAGTTGTTTTAGTGCTTCATTAACATTTGATGTGATGACGAATTCCCTAATTGTTAATAACTTGCTGATGCAGGTCTTTTTTTTTTCAGGATAAAATCCGCTCATTGCCATAAGTATCAGATGTCAATAGCTTAAAAAGGTCTAGTTATAATAGCAAATTATATATTGCTGTCAGCCCGAATTGTAATGTTGAGATGGTTAGTCTATTGTTTTTTTTTCCCTTCCTTTAATAAATACAGCTTGGTATTAACTCTTTGATGGAGGGGACGTTATTAGCGAATGTCTTTTCATGCTCTTTCAATGTCTAAGGACTTAAATATATTGAAGGGGGTTGTATTGTGTGAGCATTGTGACATTGTATCAACACTGTGACTTCTGATTGGGTCTTCTTTCAGTAATATTGCCCCATGGGAGCTGAAAATTCCTATTCAAGGAGAAAAGACGGTGTTTCACATTACGAGCTATCATCCTTCATTTTATGGAAATTGAAATATGCGTCCAATTAAAACATTTACAAGCGCTGGAATCGTAGCTGGTAATTATAAGAAGTTTGGAATTTTTTTTAGAAATAGTGGATTTTAAAATGAATTCAAATTGTTCATTATTATGTATTGACGACCCAGTTTTTCCCTTGTATTTTATTCTGAGATACTCTGATATCGAATTTGATCAGATGGCAAGGCAACTGCTAGATATTGCTAGGAGTGTTTCACTTTGTGAAACCTAAATATTTTATAAATAAAATGATATATTTATGTTTTCTTTGTATTTCATCAAAACTAATGTACAATATCCCTATGTAGAATAATTAGCAAATATGTTTTACATATTAGAAGATGTATTAAATACTTTGAGGGGAAACATTTTGGAAATAGTTTTTTAATATTAAAAAAGACACATTCTTGGCCTTGGATCCATAGGCGTGCGCACGGGGTGTGCCGGGTGTGCCTGGGCACACCCTAATCCATGCGGCACGCCTATGGAGTGAGACCGGCAGGGGAGATCTCAGGATCCCCCCTGTTGGCTCATGCAGAGCCGGCGCTATCCGAGCGCCGGCTCTGCTCTCAGCCTCCCTCCCCACTACAGCATGGAGGGAGGCAGGAGAGGACCCGGGGAGCTCAACCAGCAGCTCCGCCGGGTTCCTCTTGCGAGATCTGAGTGTTGCCGCGGCAACGCTCAGATCTCACGAGAGTGAACTCTAGCCCCACAGGGGCTAGAGTTCAGTCTCCACTGGACCACCAGGGAAAGCAGCAGAACAAGAATCCCCCCTCCCTAAGAAGAGAGGGGGGATATTAAGTAATGTACACAATCACCCATACACACCCACACATACAGCACCTTCACACACACACACAGCACACACACACATACAGCACACACACACACATACAGCACACACATACACACACATACGCACAGCACCCACACACACACAGCACCCTCACACACACAGCACCCTCAAACACACAGCACCCTCTCACACACAGCACACAAACAGCATCCTCACAAACACACAAACAGCACCCTCACAAACACACCACACTAACAGGACCCTAACAAACACACACACATCACACAAACAGCACCCTCACACACACATCACACTAACAGCACCCACACACACAGCACCTATACGCATACAGCACACACACAGCACCTACACACATACAGCACCTTCACACACACACACACACACAGCACACACACACACACAGCACCCTCACGCATACAGCACCCTCACACATACAGCACCCTCACACACACAGCACCCTCAAACACACAGCACCCTTTCACACACAGCACACAAACAGCACCCTCACAAACACACAAACAGTACCCTCACAAACACACCACACTAACAGGACCCTAACAAACACACGCACAGCACACAAACAGCAACCTCACACACACATCACATTAACAGCACCCTCACACACAGCACCCTTACACACACAACACCATCAAACCACCCTCACACAGCACACACACACACAGCACCTACACACATACAGCACACACACAGCACCTACACACACACATACAGCACCCTCACACAGCACACACACACACACACAGCAGTGTATGTATGTGTGTGTATATATATATTGCGCACACCTATGCTTGGATCTCGTCTAGTGTCCTATCCTCATACCTCACACCTTCGGCATCCTGTGAAACCTGATGGGAGTGATAAAAGGGTAAAATGTTGGTGTCATTGGGCAAACCCACCTGGAAAAGAAGGGGATGCTCGCCCGTAGAATACACGACAGGCTGCCTGTCAATCACGTAGACCAGTGGGCCAAGCAAGGGGCGCTGTTTCAGTGCTCTCTCAAGTGTCCGAACGCCATGAGCATGGTGCAGTGCAAGCACTTCTAATGATGCGCATGCACTGTGCTTGTTGGGAACAGCTCCCTGGTGTTCCCAAAAATAAAATACCAGGGAACAAATGGCGGGGCAGGACCCAAACTGAATCAGGACAGTTGGGAGGCCACCTGATTGGTTCTGTCTCTTGTTTTCCTGTTTTAATTGTGATTACCCACCACATTTGATTCCTGTTTGCATATTCTCTTGCACTGCATGCAAATGTCATAACAAAATTTGTATAATTAAGAAAAAGGCCTGCTCACTAAACAGTTCAACTCAGACTATGTTTTTTTACAAATCAGCTATTAACTCACCATGCTTACTGTTGAGCTAATAGAGCTCCTTATTTTACTGATTTCTAAACAATTGCTTTCGTTTAGACATTATATTATGTCTATTAATTCATTTGAAGACATCAATATTTTTTGTCTGATTTCTGTTAGGGGGTAGTTGAAGTTATTCATTATGGATTATTTGACTTGCCATTTCTGAAATTGGTTAAAAAAAGCTCAATAATAATTGAAAGCATAGGAGACAGTGTAGAACAATTTAAACAGTTCTACCCGGGAAACACGGAGGAATTGTAGAAAGTTTTTTTCCCCCGTACAGTGTTTTAACCACATTGATAATACATTTACTATCAGCAACGAGGGACCTGACTTACAATCCATTCCTCTAAGCTTGTCTTTAACATTCTTGTGGTTTTCAGATTGTTGCATCTCCATTTTTATAATGGAATAATTACTAACATTACTGGGAATATATAATTTGCTCCATAAACCAAGTAATAGATTATATTAAATCTACCCAAAAGCTAATATAAGTCATCTGTTATGTTAAAAATATGCTCTCCAGAAATACAAAACAAATTATTGTAATGTAACACTTTTAAAGCACATCGGTAGCATTGACAACGACAACTCAAACAGCTATCTAGCTTTCTAGAACCCTAAGATTATGCGGTACATTCACTAAACAGTGATTGAGGAGTTGACAACTTACAAAGTTTTACTCGGAATAAAAACTCATCTCAGCAGAATGGATATTTTTTTAATTGAAGTTTGGTTAATATTGTGAATTTTACGTGTCAAATGAACAAAACTCTTGTACTCTGCTTTTTAGCAGTTTCATTAGATTCATCTGTCTGCTTACGAAAAGTTGTTTAATAAAAATGGATTTTTTGGCACAAAGCAAGAGCTAGCTAAATATGTTTTTGATTGCTGTCAGACTGTGTTACTCTGAGATTTATTGCTGCGGAGCTCTGTGATACACTTATACACACTGCCAGGGCCGCCATCAGGGGGTGACACAGGCCCGGCGGCCCTGGGGGGCCCGGCCAGCCTGAGCCCCACGTGTAGCGGCGGAACTGCACTTGCACTGGCACCCGCATGCTGATGGGGCCCATCAGGTGGCCCACGCACTTAGGGCCACCTGATGGGCCCTATATCTGCAGGGGCCTGGTCAGCGATGTGGCCGTGGTATAGCATGACCGGGACCCTTTAAAAAAAAATGCCGCCGCAGCGCAAGTGCTGCTGAGAGGAAGTGGTCACTTCCTCCCAGCTCACTCTGCGCAGGAGGAGAGCGCCCCCGGCAGTGAAGAGGGAGAGCCAGCCAACTCCCAGTCCCATCAGCCCCAGCCACCCTCCTGCAAAGACAAGGTAAGAGACAGGATGGTGGCTGGGAAATGAGCTCTGTGTGTCTGTCTGTATGTCTGTCTGTATGCATGTCTGTCTGTATGTCTGTCTGTATGTCAATGTATGTCTGTCTGTATGCATGTCTGTATGTCTGTCTGTATGTCTATGTATGTCTGTATATATGTCTATGTATGTCTGTCTGTATGTATGTCTGTCTGTATGTCTATGTCTGTCTGTATGTATGTCTATCTGTATATCTATGTATGTCTGTCTGTATGCATGTCTGTATGTCTGTCTGTCTGTATGCATGTCTGTAAGTCTGTCTGTACGTCTATGTATGTCTGTCTGTATGCATGTCTGTATGTCTATCTGTATGTCTATGTATGTCTGTCTGTATGTCTATGTCTGTCTGTATGTCTATCTGTATGTCTATGTATGTCTGTCTGTATGTCTATGTCTGTCTGTATGTCTATGTATGTCTGTATGCATGTCTGTCTGTATGTCTATGTCTGTCTGTATTTCTATCTGTATGTCTATGTATGTCTGTCTGTATGTCTATGTATGTCTGTCTGTATGCCTGTCTGTATGTCTATGTCTGTCTGTATGTATGTCTGTATGTCTATGTATGTCTGTCTGTATGTCTATGTATGTCTGTATGTCTATGTATGTCTGTCTGTTTGCATGTCTGTATGTATATGTATGTCTGTCTTATGCATGTCTGTATGTCTATCTGTATGTCTATGTATGTCTATGTCTGTCTGTATGTCTATGTATGGATGTCTGTATGCATGTCTGTATGTCTGTCTGTATGTATGTCTATGTATGTCTGTCTGTATGCATGTCTGTCTGTCTGTATGTCTATGTATGTCTGTCTGTATGTCTGTCTGTATGCATTTCTGTCTGTCTATGTCTGTCTGTCTGTATGTCTGGCTGTATGTCTATGTCTGTCTACGTATGTATGTCTGTCTATGTATGTATGTATGTATGTCTATGTATGTATGTATGTGTGTATGTGTATGTATGTATATGTATGTCTGTCTGTATGTATGTCTATGTATGTCTGTATGTATGTCTGTATGTCTATGTATGTCTGTCTGTATGTA